ACAAAGACCTGCATTTCTTTTATGATGACGCATATGTATGAACTGTTCAAAGAGTGAAATATGGAATATTTAAACTCCTGAGTTTGAAAGAGGGTATTATTTGCTTATTCTTTGCTTGTTGCTTATTTTGATAAAGAAAATGGAAAAGAATGTATTTCTATTTCTGTAAAATTAGGAACAACTGTAGTGGCGCTGTGCTGGAAGAAGTGCTAATATATGGCTGATATTTCTTGTAGACTAGAAACACAAGAAAATCTGGGAAGAAAGGCGTTATTTATTCAATCAGTTGATTATGTTAATGTTCAGTAGTACTTGTTTAATCAATTTTATCAGAAATGTAAGGGGATGTATGATATGACCTAAACTATACATATTTAAAATGTTTTATCAGTATTGACTATGTCAATTAGGATTTGTATCTAAACATAATTGCAGGTCAATTCTATTTTTTGAAATAATAAAATTTAATAAGTAATACATTTTTTTATCAAATAGTTTAAAAATAAAGCATAAAATTTAGACAAAAATCATCTTGCAACATAGCAACACAATGTGACTTTTTATGTTACAGATGGTGTCACTTTATTATGCTATCCCCAAAGAAAAGGAAAGTGACTGCCAGAAGTTTAATCTCTCCGTGCAACTCATCCCAGGTAATCTGGTATACGTTTGTTCTAATCATGAATTTGGTATTTATTCTGTGTTTTTTGTAAAACAATAAAAATAAAAAATAGCATGTTGTATAAAGATGCATTGTTTATGTGGATTTCCTCTTTTGTTTCTGCAGAAAAAATAACTGATGATAGCAGGACATACATGCTTAGGATAGATGTTTTGTAAGTACCGTACGCCAAACCTTGGGAAGTTCCATAGGTCGATGTGAATTTATCCAGATTACTCTGAACATTTTACCCACAGGTATAAGGACAAGGAGAGTGATGCAAAAATGTCTATCTTAGACATTGGCCTGCTAACTGGATTCACTGTTGAAACAAAGGACCTGGACTTGGTAAGATTTTGAATGGGATTCACACAGTTAAATCCAGTCATTTATATACATGTTTAAAAAACACAGAATCAAACACACACTCTCTGAGATTAAAACCAAATCAAATCTGATTTTTTAAAGTCAGATAACATAAATTGCTTATGCTTACTAAATGCTAGATTTATGTGGGAGTTGTTTTCACTGCAAATTCAGAGGTTTACATTTTCTTATTTTGGTGAAGCCTTAATAAGTGTTCCTTCCCAAGGAACACAGGATGGCATGATGATATTATGATGAGAATCTCTAAAAACAAAAGTCTTTGCCATAGGATGTCTTTGCAGGTTGTACACTGAGTGTGTGTTTAAATATTTCTGCAGTTGTCTAAAGGACGCGCTCGCACCATTGCAAGATATGAGATGAATACAGTTCTGTCAGAAAGAGGTTCTCTTATCATATATCTGGACAAGGTAAAAATTCAGTCTTCTTGTCTTTTTAAATAGATGTTTGCTCATTCATCAATGTGCCATTCTTATTTCAAATCCATTTCTAGGTTTCCCACACGCGACCAGAGGAGATCAGTTTTAGGATCCACCAAACAATGAAAGTTGGTGTTTTACAACCAGCAGCCGTGTCTGTTTATGAGTATTATGAACGTAAGTGTAAGGATTTCTATTGTCATTTTAATTTTCCTTATCCCATGTTCTTGTTGAATGACCCTAATGCTATTCCTTATTCACTAAGAATTATTTTGTACCTCTATGTATGTATTTCATTCCAGAAATTCCTTGTGTGAAATTTTACCATCCTGAGAGGAAGGGTGGAAAACTGCTGCAGCTGTGCAGAGATAATGAATGCACCTGTGCAGAAGGTAAACAAGAATGGTCTTTATGTAGATTTTAGGAAGAACAACAACTCATTTACTCCCCAAACCTCAATGAATTTTATATACATTTTTAAATGACTTACAAAAAACAAATCATAATTGTGAAGTGTAAGAAGTTAGATAAGTTCAATTTTAATTTTAAAAATCTGAAGAGGGTGGAAGGCAAATTCATTTAGCCCAATCTTTTTCTGACCAATAAATACCACCATGTGCAACCGACTGTTTTAAACTTTACCCTTTTTTTAATCATCTTTTGTGAGGGTCTCAGTAATTTCACTCAAGACATAAGTGAAGACACAGAAAATACAATCACTTACACTGACAACCACACCATTCACAACTATATGGTGCCTCTGCAGAAGCTGTAGATTCCAAAAAAGTTTACAAAAACAAAAAAACACTGGACTTTGTTTTCCAAGTTTAAAGACAGTTCTCTTTCCATCCAGAAAGAAGCTTTCTCAATTCAAAATGTGTGGAGTATCGTTGAGTTCCTGGCTTAAAAAGAGCGGCCCGAAAAAAGGCCTTGTTATGACCTTCAGATCCACAGAGATCCACAGCTTTGGTGATAGAATATTTCTAATAGGTCTGATTATTAGTCAGCTTGTCCATAAATCTAGCCTGTATTGAAGAATTAGATATAAAAGACTCTGTTAAAAGGTCCAAAGAATTTTTGGTGCCAGTTTGTCTCAAGCCATGTACAGTAGATGCAGTAGCAAAAATGCTAAAGACAGGGTTCTCCTAGATAAGACAAAAAGAGATGAGATAGAAAATATATTATTATTTTTTTGGCCTATATGGAAGTGAACTCATTGATTGGCAAAAAACTAACTTTGCCCATTAGCTTGGGCAGAGTTAGCACTAATGTGAAGCATTATAGTGGCAGCTTCATGTTGTGAGAATGCTTTGCTTTATGAGGTCCTGAGAAGTTGACCTTATTGTGCATTCCAAGCTACAGTGGATTGGTTTAGATCAAGGTTTCTGGTCCTCAAAGCAAACTGTCCTGTACGTTTTAGTTGTTTCATACCCCAAAAAAACTCTACTTGCTTTTAATATGAGAATGCATAAAATGCAACACTTTAAATATAATACAGATATCCGCAAATTTTTGATGGTTTATCATATATGCATTGATATTTTAAAATATTTAATTTAAAGACATATAAACTGAATTTGATAAGCAGTCGTCCTTTGTCATTGTCATTGATGTAAGAAATACCATCATCTCTTGATTTTTCTTTCAGAGAACTGCAGTATGCAGAAAAATGGTCACATTAGCAATGATGAGCGCACAGCTAAGATCTGCGAAAGTACAGAAACCAGCAAAATAGAATTTGGTAAGAAACAAGTGTTTCGCAGTTAATGAAAATTCTAATGAAAGGAACGTCCTTTTTTATTCATCCCTTATACCTCATGAGCTCAAATCTGCATATTTTGTGTTTACAGCTTACAAGGCTATGGTGGAAGGAAATGATTTTGGGTTGTCTACAGACTCTTACACAATGCGCATAGTGGAAGTTATTAAAGAAGGTGGGTATGGATGCTTATTTAACTTCTCAAATCTTTTGATACAATTTTCACAATAGCTCTTTACAGTAAAGAAAATACTGTTGACCTTTTGTTAAACTTAAAAACTTTTTAAAATATAGCAATTGGCATTTACCAAAATAACAGGGTCTCTTTTTGCCCTCCTCTTTCTACAAACAAATTTTAGAAAAACTTATTTCTGTATACAGAATTTATTGTTACTTTTGACTTGCAAAAATCAAAGCTGCATGTGTCTCGATCAAAGCCCTTCAGTAACCTGAGAGGCCTTTTCTCAATCTCTCTTCTCGTTCTACCATTTAAACACAGGAAGTATTGATGTTGATCCTGTTGGTAAACTGCGCACATTCCTCAGTTATCAGCACTGCAGAGAAGCTTTAAGGCTGGGAAAAGATCAAAGTTACCTCATCATGGGATCATCCAAAGACATTCACAGAGATGACCAGAAGCAAACGTAAGTGAAAATATGACAGCAGCAATACTTCTGCAGTTTCATACAGTGTTCTCGTCAGAGGATTAGACTGATTCTCTTGAAATGTCATAGTACCTCTGAGCTTTAAATAATTTATTTCAAGGTTTGTCTGTTTTTAAAAAGATCAAATGGCAATACAGAATAAAATAAACCTTTTGATAAATAAGAGCTATGCTGAAAAGATTATCTAAAATAAGTGCATTTGCCGTTCCTTTGAGCCTACATACCCCTGTTTAAATACCAGATGTATAAAAATATCAAGAAGACAAATTATTTTACAATGTTTTCTACCTTTAATGTGATCTATAACATGTACATGGGAAATGAAAAACAAACTGAAACTTTTAAAGGGGAAACATGAAATAAAAATATTTTAAAAACCTGGTACCCCTCTCGCTCCTAGACAGCTGGAGATAGGCACCAGCACCCCTTTCAACCTCACTTGGGATAAGCATGTTGGAAAATGGATAGATGGTTGCAGAAATATGCACACCAACCCACCCATCCATGTAATTTATTGGAAATTGTTTTGCATCCTTCACCTGACTGAAATCTCTAAATAATATGATCCTTTGATGTTTTGGAAGTATTTTTTAGGGTTTATTTATAACACAGATTACTCTCCTCCATGCCAGCTGCTCTAACTGTAATGTGGCCTCCTGACGCTAGTCTTAATTAATGAGAAATTAGAAATGAAACACAAACTTGGACAACAATTTGGCAACAGCAGTGGTTCCAGGAAATGTTGACAGGGGTGGCCAGGCAGAAACCATTGTGCACTGAGAGGTGAACAAAAACAAATAGGTACCAAAACCAATTCACGGTCAGACTATGTTGATCACAATTAACCTACATCTATATTTTCCAAATAAACCACTGAAGAGAGTAGGTTTTAATGAAGCCCTTCCTGATAAAGCTACACACATATTTATACATTGGTGCTGTTCAAATTAAGTTATGGTTCCACAAAATATATGCAATAAATTGGTTGGGCAAAGGATCTTAATAATAATTACATAGAAAACCTTTAAATGACAGCAGAGGCCTACTTTAGCCCGTAAAACATTTTTTGAATTTTGACACTTTTTGGTTAAAATATGAACATAAAAAATTTCAAAATTGGACATTCTACATGATGGAATTATAAGGTGGAAGAGGTGGAAATTTCATTTGGAAGACACGAGGTCATTTTTAGGTACAATATTATTTTTCATTGGTTATTTCAAACAATCGGAATGTCACAACTCAAAACAGAGGACCCAGTGTTCGAGGCAGTCTAGATAGTGGGATTATTAAAAAAGGCATTTATTGAAATAAAAAGACTGTGAATCTGTAGTAGCAGCAGCTAGGGCATCTGAGATAGGAAACTCTGGTGAGAGAAAAGACAGGTTAGTGACCAAGATTACTTGATGGAGGATGAGAAGAATGCATGAGCCACTAACCAGAGAACGAGGTTGATACCAGCCGGTTGGCTGACAAGATGCAACTGTAGCCGCACGGAGAGTTCCAGATGCCGAAGCCTTGAATGACACAGAACTGAAAGGGAGATCAGATCCGAACAGATGAAGGAAGCGTATACAGAGGGCGAAGTCAAGAGGCACATCCATATTCACTCCATAAGAAGCAGGTGCCTGAAGACCGGTCAGGCAAACAGATCAAAACAGGGACAGGCAGGCTCAAAGATGCAAAGACAGAAACGGGTCAGGATCAGGATCAGGATCAGGACCAGAACACTATAAGCAACACTAGAACAGTGTTTTTTTTGACAGCCATCTTAGATTTAGTTTTAATCTTAATCTTCAGGACGAAAACTATTATTCGTCTTAGTTACATTTTAATCTTTACAATATGTGATAGTTTTAGTCGGTTTTAGTCAACTAAAACTTAAAAAGGTTTTAGTATAGTTTTAGTCAGTTTAATGTTGCAAAAAAAATTTAACCTTTACAATTTTTAATAACAACCAGATTCTTTACCAGACTGACAACTCTTGCCTAGGTGCTACATTCGCTGGAGTTACAATTCTGCCGTGGAGCTCAACATTGCTGTTGGGCAGACAATTTTTTTGTTGTCTGTCCTGTTGGGCAACTTTTTTTTAATTAATGCTCTACTTTATTAAAAAAAATGTCTCACAAAAGTTGTGAAAACAGCAGATCTTGCTCAAAACATCATATTGGTTCATATAGCAGACAGAAAGGCTACAATAAAGGAATGGTTTTAGACATTCAAGGTTTCCATCCCAAAGCAAACACTTCCCGATCTACTATGAATTATGCATTACACACAGATCAATAAAATCTTAATTTCTAAAAAAAAAAAAAAGCAAAAAACAAAAATAATCTTCTTTCTACTTTGACAACTTTTGCTTAATTTTTCTCAATTTACCCCTTGGTTACTGCTGCTCAGTGGTCAAAGTAGATTTAAATTCACAGGGTTTTGATATAAAAAAATAAAAGTACAGAGAGAACCTACATAATAGCCCTGTAATGCCATGGTAATCCAGACCTAAATTGAATGAATATGCTAACTAAAATGTTGAAATATTTAGAGGAAACAGAAAATGTTTTAATGACAATTCAAGGAAATGAATCAACAGTGAAGAAAAATGAGTAACCGACCTTCCAGGCAGGAGGATGTCTAGTGGATTTGACATGTTGGCGCTGTTGCGGGAGGAAGACTGTTATTGACCACTTTACGTTGCGTCTGATTGGTTTATATTGTGTAGAGCCTTCAGTGGTTGGTTAGATTTAGACATGAATTGATCTGGGATCAGCCTGTTAGTCAGAGGTGAGTTTTTTGAACTAAAGCAGGCCCTATCAAATGAGAATTAAATGAGGAAATATGCATGAGAAGTGTCATGTATGGCACGAAAATGCATGAAAATGGGTCAAACTTCATGACCAAACACAATACGTGGATTTTAGCAGCCCTGCTATGACCCACAGCTTGAGCTGGAAGATGTGGTTACAAAAATGCCTATTAACCCACCAGAACAGCTGAATCTTATTTGGGGTTTGGATTAGTGACAGGTATGTGCTGACTCCATTTTATTGGTTAAAGGTGAACACACCCTTAACAGGGTGTGCACAATTGTGCAACCCTATTATCTCTGTTGTTTATTTTTACTTCACTACCCTGAATAATCTCTTGGGGGGTTTGTAATTGTTTTTTCAAGGTTTTAGATCACATGAAAGGTTGAAAAACTTGTAAAGTAATTTATATTAATGTATTTTTTGTTAAATTACAAGAATCTAAAATTTAACCAAAAAATCTGTTAACAGACTGAATATTCTGACCCTTAAAATATGTTTTTTTATAGATATACCACTTTTAAAATGAAATAATGGAGATCATTTTTTTTTGTTTGTTTGTTTGTTTATTTAAAGTGCACAAATCTTACTTCACTGATAGATCATTTTACTCACCTTCCTAAATCCTGAGCAAATATTTTAAGAAAATTTTACTTTACTTTAACCAAGTTTTTTTTATAGCGTGGGTTTCCTCTTAATGCCATCTGATGTATATACTACATTAATCTGCAATTATATCTGGACCAATTTTTCAACGTATGTCTCCTGTATTCATCACATTTCACATTTATTTGGGTCTGTGTCAATTAAGAATATAACTTTTTATTTTACTTTCCAGCTGCTTGCACAAACTCAGTTCTAAACAGCAAAACCTTTCATTGTTTTGAGTATTGTATGCTGTAATAAAAAATAAAAAAAACATGGAAAAATAAAGGATGAGTGCAGTTGCTCATGCTGCCATCCTGATAGATTTTCTACTGGGAAGTATTACACTGCTAACTTGGATTTTTTTTTAATTACTTTTTTTCTTAGGTTTCAGTATGTGCTTGGGGAGAGGACTTGGATTGAGTACTGGCCCACAGAAGCAGAATGCCAGAAGGCAGAACATCGACCTACCTGCATGGGCATGGAGGAGATGGTCGATCAGTACACCACTTTTGCATGTCAACAGTAATTGCACCATTGGAACCAACTGTCATATCAAATTTTTTATTTTTGCAAAGTGTGTAAAAGTTGGCATGAATTGATTGTACGAGACATAATAAAGTGTGTTAATTAAACTTTTAATGGTACTTTTTGGCCAGGAGTCCCTGCTTTTAATGATATTCATATTCACCAGATTTTAATAGTATATTTTCCCTTTTTTCATTTACCAGATAATTATTTATTGATTTCTTTCATCCCTGAAAATTGCTAATACATTGTTCAAAATAATAACTTTAAGAGGAGGAGACAAATGTAAGATACAAAGAGCAAACAATTCCAGTCAAAAATTGTGACACATTTAGGGTCTGATCCTCGGAGCCTTTACATGCCTTAGAGCACATGCAAACTTGTTTGTACATGCAGAGCAGATCTTCAAAGAAGGTACCAAGGGATTTGCATTTGCAATTCAGCAGACTGTGCATGAGGACCTTTTTTTGTGTCTATGCCTGTATCAATATGTTTTTTTTTTTCAACAATATCTTTATTAAGTTTTATACATATATTTCACTTGTACAAAAAGACGGTTATCAAAACAATAGCATCCAAAAAGTGAACAGTTAGAATTTCCACAAAACATTTCACATACTTCACACACTTAACAACATTAAATAAAACTAAACAAAACAAAACAGAACAGATTTAAGTTATTTGAGCTCTTTGACGTTCAAGAAACTCTATTAAGGGATTCCACACAGTCTCAAACTCTGTAGCCTTTCCACTGGTGATATAAGTCAGCCTTTCTAGCATCACACAAGATGTCATCTCCTTTATCCACTCATTTATCGAGGGCACACCCATTTTCCTCCAGGACAGAGCAATCATCCTCCTCGCCTGTAGGAGGCCAAAATCAATTAAAGTTGACTTGTTAGGAGTAACAGCAAAGTTTTTTGGATATATACCGAGTATACACATTTCTGCCAGGTGAGGTATCTTCACTTTAATGATGTCAGATAAAGTCAGAACAATTTCTTTCCAGTATTTTTTTATATCTGGGCAGTCCCATACGCAGTGATATAGAGTACCCTTTCCTTCCAAGCACTTAACACATGTGTCTGGCACATCAGGAGACCACTGATTGATCTTAACCGGGGTAATGTAAGTTCTCATGAGCCATTTGTATTGTAATAATTTCATCCTAGAGTTGATGGATTGTTTTTGGGCTTTAAAGCATGCCTTTTCCCAATCTGCCTTTTGTATGTCTACCTTAATATCTAGTCTCCATGCCTCTAGCCTGTCATCTGTGGACTCTTTATAATGGGACATCAAAACTGTATAAAACAAAGAAATCAGTTTCCTCCCCTCCAGATGTCGAAGCGTAACTTCTTCAAGTTGTGACAGTGGTGGTTCATCTATTACATTCTTATGTTTCGATAAAATAAAATGTTTCAGCTGTAGATATTTAAAAAAAAAAATTCTGGGAACGTTGTATGTTTGGCACATCTGATCAAATGTACAGAGTTTACCGTCTATATAAAGGTCCTCTATTTTTTGTGCACCATTACCTGCCCAGATTTTGAATCCACCATCTGCCCTTCCTGCTTTGAAATATGCATTGCCCCAAATGGGGGAGAAACGGGAGATGGAAGGAGTGTCTCCAATATGTTGATGTGCTTTATACCACACGTCAATAGTATTTCTAAGGAAAGGGTTCTCTGTTAACTTCTTTAGTTTTTTTGGGTCTGCAGAGTACATATACAGCCTTAATGGGAGGTTCGGAACTGATGCCTACTCAATATTCACCCAGGCTGGAAGAGCTTCCAATGAGAAATAAAACATTGCCGATCGTAACTGGGCGGACCAATAATATAACTTCAAATTTGGGAGCCGTAGCCCCCCTCTCTCATATAGCAGGTACAGCAATCTGAGCCTCAACCTAGGTTTTTTGTTGTTCCAAATGAATTTCCTAAAAGTACTATTAAGTTTGTCAAAAAATGAACCTGGGAGTGGAAGTGGGAGCGATTGAAACAGGTATAAAAATTTTGGTAATATATTCATTTTAATCAGATTTATACGGCCAATCAGTGATATGGGCAGCATCAACAATCGATCCAGTGTCTCATTCACTTCACTAATTAGTGGATCATAGTTTGCTGGGGTGATCATTTTAATTTCAGGGGTAATTTTGACACCAAGATAGGTATATCCTTCCTTTGCATTAGAAAAGGTTTTTTTTTTACAGGGTTTAATCTTTCGTCTTTGTTTAAAAATAATATAGAAGATTTTGCATTATTAATGTTATACCCAGAGAACTGTCCGAACAATTCAATCTGTTGTAATAGATTTGGGATGCTGATTGATAGTTTAGTCAAAAAAACAATCACGTCGTCAGCATATAAGGAAATTTTATGCTCCTGTTCCCCCAAACAGATGCCTGATATGTTCGTCTGCGTCCTTATTGCCATAGCTAGTGGCTCGATGGCCAATATAAACAACATAGGTGACAGTGGGCATCCCTGGCGAGTAGATCGCTCCAAGTTGATTGATTTAGAAACTATACTGTTTGTCAGGATGCAGGCTGTTGGGCTGGTATATAAAATCTGGATCCATTTAAGAAATGTCTGTCCAAATCCATATCTGGGTAAAACATTAAATAGGTATCGCCACTCTATCCTATCAAAAGCTTGCCGAGCATCCAATGATAGTACTGCTGTATCTTTTGTATCAGATTTTTCATGAATTATGTTAAGAACCCGTCTAATGTTATGAAAGCCTTGTCGTTTTTGTACGAAGCCATTCTGATCATTAAGAACTATGTGTGGGATATAGGTATCAAGTCTCCTTGCTAAGGTTTTACAAAGTATTTTTGTGTCACATCCAATAAGGCTTATAGGTCTATATGAGGAGCATTCTGTGGGGGGATTTCCTGGTTTTAAAATTAATGTTATCATTGCTAGTCTTAAAGATGGTGGGAAAGTTCCTGTTTGATAGGATTCTTTGAACATATTAATGAGTGGAATTAATAGTTTTTCTTTGAAGGTTTTATAGAATTCAATTGGCAAACCATCAGGCCCTGGAACCTTACCGCTGTTAATATTTTGGATAGTCTGTGATATTTCTTCAGTTGTCAAATCACCATCTAATTCATTTTTAGCATCTTCTGTCAGTGTCTGGAATTCAAACCGATCAAGAAATATATCCTGTTCTTCTTTTGTAGTTTCAGGGCATTCTGATCTATATAAATTATGATAAAATTCTCTGAAACTATTATTAATTTCCAAAGGGTCAACTGACAGATTTCCCGAAGAGGTCATTATACTATTAATTGCTCTTTCAGATTGTATTTTTTTAATTTGCCATGCCAAAAGTTTCCCAGCTTTTTCCCCTTGGTCATAATAGGTTTGTTTTAGCCACATTAAGCTTTTTACAACTTTGTCAACGGATAGCTTGTTATACTCAGCTCTCAGGAGTAGCAACTCTCTATGTTTCCTTGGATCGTCCTTTACATTTAGACTTATCTCTAAAGATTTAATTTGTTTTTCCAATGTTTCCATTGCTACTCTTTGCTGTTTGGCCTTGGAGCTTGTGTAACTAATGATTTCTCCTCTAATGTAGGCTGTAAATGCTTACCACCTCGTGCCAGCGCTGGTTTGATCTGTATTTAATTCAAAATAAGTGTCTATTTTAGTTCCAACATGTTTAACAAAGTCCGGGTCCCGTAACCA